GAAGACGACGAGTTCAAATGTGATTGCGGCTTCGAATGCGAAGACCGTGTTCATGTAGTCGGGGAATGTCCGTTGTACAGGGAGGAGAGGGAAGTGTACGTGACTGATCTGGGGAAAATAGATAGGACGTACAGGGAGATGTTTGAGGCATGTAATAGAGAAGAAAGGACGGTAGCTGTACTGGGGCATAGGAGGTCGGTTGAAAAGGCGGGAAGGGATATCGTTAGGATAGACAGACTAGGGAAGACATTTTTGAGCCAGCTTTGGCAAAGTAGAAAGGAACGATTGGCCATCGGTGATCGGTCCTGTGGGAACAATGCTCCGTCCTCTCGAGGACGCGTGGTCAATGGTCAAACCGCTAAGGCATGCAAAACATAAGAGTACGCCCAGCCCCCCCCTCCCCTCCCACCGAATTGAGGCATGGCATCCCTTCGCCAGAGTAGGACATCTACGTCAACAACACACACGCAGTCAGTTCGGCAGTGCTACGTCAAATCTCTGTAATTTCTTTAGCCATGGACACTTAAGAGGGTATAAAAGATCGTTCATATCGTCAGTACACCCTCACCATAAGCGTGTCGAACACCATCTCTTCCTCTGCGTCTGCACTCTCGTCCCCCTCCTGCTGCTGCCCTTGCCAACCAGCGCCTCCCTCTGCTTCGCTCCCGACCGCGGGAACACTCCGAGAAACGTCCTGTGCCGGGGCTCCCCCCTCCACCCCTAGCGGCCATGGCGACGCTGCCGGCGAAGCAGTGATCTCGCCACCCACGGTACCCCCTTGTTTCCGGGCACATTCTCTGTCACTCTTAGCCCCACGCTTCGACCCCTCCGTGTGTACGGTCAGCGCCATCACCCGCGCAGCCAATGCTTCTGCTGCAGCGCCGTCGTCACCGCTCCGGGAACCGTTCTTCCCGTCTTCCGGCGTCGCGGCCGCCGTCCGAAGCGGCCTCGCGTAGGACGATGGTTCCCCGCCCCAGGGCCCGAGCGACTCTCCCGTACTCGCCAGCAGGTCGTGCAGCTCGTACGCCCACGTCCCCCCTCCTCCCCCCTCCCCCGCCTCCGCCACCCTGAACACGCCGATGCAGCAGTGCGGCGTGGGCACCACCTCCTCCTTCCCTTCGCCGACGCTCGAATTCGCCACCATCGCCGTCGTGCCTTCCTTATGCCCCACGCTCAACACCCGGGAGCACCACCTCCCGCCCCCCTCCCCCCCCCCCCCCCCCCCCCCCCCCCCCCCCCCCCCCCCCCCCCCCCCCCCCCCCCCCCCCCCCCCCCCCCCCCCCCCCCCCCCCCCCCCCC